TTCCTTGGTTATGTATGGTGAGTCTCCTCCATCTATATATCAAATCTCAAATTTTAGGTCAAATGGTGTAGTCATTGAAGTGCTCTTCTTAAATGCAAATAATGATTGTTAATAACTAACATCTACTCTTACATATTTTTTTTTAATCATTCTTTCCTTAAGTGCTCTGATAACTCATTTGAAAAGGCTTGTGTTAGTATTATTTCTCTTTCAAGGCTTCTTGTCAGTTCAGTAAAAGCCTATATTTTTACTATTCTTAGCTCAGGTTCCTGGTTCAAATCTACAGCAATCTTCCTACACTGTAGGGTGACAGCTACAAATGGAATACGTACAGTATTCCAGTACAATGGATTGAGTCAATGACTGTTGTATTCTTCTTTTTTAAGGGATGACTCATGCATTGTTATGACAAGACAGAGCAGATTCATTGTATTATTGTATTCACATGAGCCAGGGAATGCCAAAGCCAAAGGCAGTTGCAGCACAGTGAAATCCTCAGGAAAAAAGTATAGGTCATACAGGGGATGAGATGTATGAGATTCTTATAACAGATAACTTGCAAGCACAATGCAGAATCTCTTTAGAGTATTTTAAACATTTGCATAGATGTGCACTGTTCTTGAACCATATTTGTGGAGCTTATAATCAATCTAATAAAACCAAATGACAGTGAAAGCCATAAGAAGGTATTTTATATCACCTCATGTTAAGACATCTCCACCACCTTTTCCCCTTTTTTTCTTTCTGGTTTTTTTTTTGTTGTTGTTGTTGTTGTGTGGTTTTTGTTTTTTTTTTTGACAAATAGAGCAATACAAAATTCCTCTTACCTAACAAAGATATGTTTGCAAGGTCTGAAGTGACTGGGTGAGGCAGCTAAGCCTTGCCTATCCTTTTCAGCAGGCTGTGAGCACTTGGGCAGTCAGTTAATATGGCCAGTGCCTGCCCATGCATCATGCTGTGGCCAACTTCTAGGCTCGTTCCTTTATACTAATTCTTCGTTATTTATGTAGTTACAACACAGCCTGGAGCCCACTGGGCAGACCTTATCACTTGCTCAGACTACCCGAGGGCATTA